CCGGACGTTTCGAAACGTCCGGAAATAAAAATCCGTAACTGATCCAGTAGTAGAGTTTGAATTTTCTTACGAGTATCGTTTACCTGGATGTCTAACCTTCATCAACGTATTTCATTCAGTCATTATTCATTTACTTATTCATTCATGATCATTCATCATTCATTCATTCATCCAGGGGAATGGCTATGGTTCAACCAAGCTAACGTACTGAACGCAGACTACTTTACGTCACATCCTGAGTACAGCAGCGACCGGCCCGCGCCTGCGCACTTGTCTCCCTTCCACACGTACTACGGGGACGGGTCAGACATTGAACCGGAAGTACTACAGCACATCCGGGACGTGACGTGGCAGGTGACGTAACCAATCGTAGTTACCAGACGCACTACGTCATTGGCCAAGCAGACTTTACTGCAAGCCGTGTTTAATGTCAGAAACATTTGTCATTGTTCCCCCTTTTTATGTTTACCGACGGAAAACATATATTTTAATCAGTTTCTTCTTCCTCCTCTTCTGTCTTCTGTTCCAAACACTAAACTCTGACCTGGCCAATGACATGATTTGTTGACATCTGCCACCATGGTGACTGGTGTTGGGTTACATTATGTTGCAATTTCATGGTCTGCTTTGCCGGCCTGTCACCATATACTCGTAGTACATGTATGTGAATGTGTTTGAGTACAAATTAACAGGACAGACCATGTCCGAAGGTAAACATTATGCATTTGCTTTGCAAATGTTACTTCTCTAGTTATATGGGCATTTGAATGAATGAATGAAATGTGTTCTCCGCAGGTTGCAGTCGGGTTCCAGATGAAGAGAAGTGACGTGTTGGTTCTGAACAACATGTACATCCAACATGGGCGCCTGGGCTACACGGGCAACAGGAAACTACTCGTGGCCTTGGCAATGGAAAACGCATAATCTGTATCTGTATAGCCGTTATAACCGCCCTTCGGCGTACCACTCCAGCTTCTGTATCTGTATAGCCGGTATAACCGCCCTTCGGCGTAACACACCAGCTTCTGTATCTGTATAGCCGGTATAACCGCCCTTCGTCGTAACGCACCAGCTTCTGTATCTGTATAGCCGGTATAACCGCCCTTAGGCGTAACACACCAGCTTCTGTACCTGTATATAGCTGGTATAACCGCCCTTCGGCGTAACACACCAGCTTCTGTATCTGTATAGCCGGTATAACCGCCCTTCGGCGTAACAAACCAGCTTCTGTATCTGGCTACATTACACCGAACGACTAGTACTTGAATATCTGACCCTTGAATATCTAGCTTTTAACATGTTTTCTTCCCACTCGAAGAAAAGCATGTTCTCCCTAACTTCCACGTAAAAATATAAATAAATTCATAAAAGAAAAATTAATACTCATTGCATATGTTTTGATACGCATGCAAATATATATATATATAATGTAGATTTGCGTCTTTCTTTGCTAACACGAGCTACCTACGCATGTAGTCAAACCATTTTTAACCTCTTAAAAGCATCCAGTGCAGTTTTTAGGGCTTAAAAACCCGATTTTACAAGGCGAATATTCTATCAAATTAGCAAATTATCTGCATACTGAGTTGCGACAACACTATCCCAATATATATTGACCTTCATGGAGCAAAATTTACCAAAATCCTGACGGAAAATGGTTAATACTGGAAGCGCCCAGGGCTGATTTTTAGGGTACCACCCAGAAAACAAAAAAACTCATCTCAGGGCTTGTTCCTGCAGTTGTAAAAGCCAGAAGTATGAAATACTGACTAAAACGTGCTATAATATGAAGCAGTATGTGTCAATATCACAACGATTGCCTTATTCAGAATAATTCCAGTTTTGCTGCCCTGAAATCGGATAGGATGCCTTTAAAATCTCGTCGTTATAAAATTAATGTCCTATTCAGAAATCTCCTAATCCAAGCAAAAGACAAGAACAGAGAGTAAACAACTCGCCCAATGTGAATATGTAGAAAGCAGAGGTTACATAATCAATATGGCTTAAACCAGACTAATTTACAGTTGCTTAGCAGAGCTGAACAGACTGGACTATTGTTAGACAATCGATATCCCCGCATACCGACATCAGCTGGGACGGTCGGCATTGGTGGTCCTGACGCCTTGCAAAAGTTAATCTCAGTAGGTAAAACTGACATTTCAATAGCACGATACTGCGACCGAAAAGTAGATTTTGGTGTAAAATATGTGAATGTTTGCTATCAAAATAGTAAAAAATAAAATTTCAATCACCGATAGCCACAACATTTTGATGACCTCGCAACATCTCGTCGTTTAAATCTGCCAACCCAACCAAAATATCTACAGCACCAGAGCGTCAACAACCTGCACACCGAAGCTGGTGTGTTACGCCGAAAGGCGGTTATACCGGCTATACAGATACAGATACAGATACAATGTGAATATTTAAAAAGAGAGGTTTACATAAACATACTGAATATGTAAAACCTGCTTTTTCGTTTAAGCCAGACTAATCTAGAGTTGTTTAAATCGCACTCCACTGCGGCACAGATGACGTGTCCTGCAGGCACCACTATAACATCCTTATTTCCAACCTCCTGACAAAACAGCGACCAACTGACGACACTCTGATTAGTCTATCATCGAAAGGTAAGACTGATCTTTTTTTTTTAATTCTTCATTCTCTGAAGGCATCAGGGGTAGATATAACAAATGCCTCCTACAACCACACCCTTCAAAAACACACCCTTTCAACGACCCTCAATTAACTTTGTTAATTGCTAAAATTTAGAAATATTGTGGCTAAAATATTGTTCTATTCGAATAAATAGGAAATTCTGAAAATTACTATTTACAAATTCTCCTGGTGACTTGATGACTCTAATATCATTATATACTAGGCCACGCCTCATTCTACGTTATCGATACCAAGCTTGTCAAGCCTCTTAGTTATAGGTATACATTGTATATAATATATATGATAATATATATCATATATACTAGTATGTCTATGAATAGATAACAGTCCGCTGCATTACAAAACATGATTACAAAACATCACGTGTCTGACGGCGGCATTCTTCTAAGGATAGAATTGATAAGTCGCTGGACACGTATACCAATATTACGCCATATGCCGCGTAAAGATACAGCCGTCCATAGCTAGCGCCACAGGCTACTCAAAGGCATTCAGTGCAGTTTTTAGGGCTTGGAAACCAGATTTTTTTAGTCACTTATCTACATAGTAGGTTGAAACGATACTGCCCCAATATATAGCGACATTCATGGAGCAAAAATGCCGAAAATTATGACGAAAAACGGTTACTGCAAGGACCCGGGGCTGTAAAAATAAAGGACTCATCTTGGGGCTTCTTTCTGAAGTTTTAAATGCCTAAGTATGAAATATGGTAATGTTGAGCAGTGTGTGTCAATATAATACAGATTGTCATATTCAGAATATTTCACGTTTTGCCGCCCTGAAATTGCCTTGGATGCCTTAAATGTGAAAAAATTGAGGTGATCTTTTTTTTTTTCTTTCTTTGTGTCCACTCATTTGTGGTCCACATAACTGTTGTTGGTGCCATACATTCATAGCCATACTTTTCGTAATCATACCTAACCATTCAATACTAACTTTTGATTCCATATTTTGATTTATCATAGGTCACAAAACACCATGGGAAGAATCCTGCGACACGTGCTGATCTTCCTTCTCATCATCCTGAAGGAGCCCAACATGCCGGAAGCTGGCTGCAGGGATAAGTGCACACCCTCATTCTGCATGTGTAGGAACATGGCCCTCACCCGCATCCCTCAGAACCTGCCGATATCCTTAACTGAGTTGGATTTGAGAAATAATTCGATTGCATCTTTGCGTAAGTCAGAGCTCGTAAGGTATAGGAACCTGGAAATATTGTCCCTAAGCTCCAACCAGATTACTGGCATTAAGGCTGGTACACTTTCAAATCTACCAAGGCTCACGGGGTTGCATCTATACCGTAACCAGATAACTGACATTAAGGTTAACACATTCCCAATGCTACCAACGCTTAAAAATTTGGGACTGGGCTATAACCAGGTAGCTGACATTAAGCCTGGCACATTTTCAAATCTACGAAATCTCCAATTTTTGAACCTATGCTTCAACCAGATAACAGACATTAACCCTGTTACCATCTCAAGTCTGCCAAATCTCAGAGGGCTGTACATAGAATTCAACAAGATAACTGCCATCCAAGCGGGTACACTCTCAAATCTACCAAAGCTCACAAGTATAACCCTAGGCTCCAACCAGATAACTGACATCCAACCTGGTACATTCTCAAATCTAACAAAGCTCACAAAGCTGTTTCTACACTCCAACCAAATAACTGGAATTCAGTCTGATACATTCTCAAATCTACCAAATCTACAAAAGTTGACACTTACATCCAATCAGATATCTGTCCTTCCCCAGTCAGTGTATGACACCTTAGCATCTATTTCTACTGTTGAAATTGCAAAGAACCCCTGGCAGTGCGACTGTAGAATGGCTCCCTTCAGGCTAAAAATGAATGGGTCTCATTTGTTTGAAAACCAAATAGTTTGTGCCCAGCCTGACATGTTCTCTGGACACAAGCTTAAAGATATCGACCCAAAAAACCTGGTTTGTATTATGAAGGACGATGGTCAATTGGAAAATGGCAATTACTCGTACAATTCCACCACTTCCCACACCTCACACTATCACTGGCACTTCAATAACGCTGGTTTAACAGGACGCCCTGTAGGCACCACATTCACCACCCTGTCTGTCGGCACAAGTAAACCAGAAAACAACACTTCCCATGAAAACAACACTGTCCATAAATCTGATCCCAGGTTGCCCCCGGTAGTTGTCATTGCCTCTTCCTGTGCCTCAATAGCTGCCGTTGTCCTCATTGGTATCATTATTCATGTTCTCTTTTACAAGAGGAGGGGAGAGGATCCTAAATATGTTTTCAATATCAGAAATCTTCAAATTCAGGCACAACTAGCCTCCTTACAGCTTAATCACTTATACAGAGGTATCAATACTCTACGACCAAGCCGACAAGGCCATTCTCCCAACACTACATCCAACCCATACACCACAACTACAGTAGTGACCTGTGATCACCATCACCAGAATGAAAATAGTGGCCAACATAATCAGACAAGACAGTATCAGTCTCTGACCATCCCATCAAAAGCAAACACCAACGCTACTGTAGTGACCAGTGATCTTGATCGTCAGTATGAAGATATGACCCAACATAACCAGACAGGGCAGGGCCAGTCTCAGGTCTTCATTGGATCTAAAACAAACACCACAGCTAGCGTAGTGGCCAGTGATCTTGATCGTCAGTATGAAGATATGAACCAACATAATCAGACAGGACAGGTCCAGTATCAGGCCATCACTGGTATCGATACTAACACAAACACTACAGCTGCTGTCGTGAGTAGTCATCATGAGCACCAGTATGAAAACATGAAAACTCAACACGATCAGACAGAGCAGGGCCAATCTCAGACCACCATTGATCATAATGATGAGTTGGATACTAGAAATGTGACATACAACACCGAGGCAGCTGCCTCTGAGCCTAATCCTGTATATAAATCTGAACAATTGCTCTGACAGGACAGGGTCAACAGGTCATCACTGACCATAAGGAATCATTGAAATGTAATGTAATGAAATGAAATGTACGCCACTAAGCTAACAACCACACAACCCAATCCTGCGTACAAAATGTGAAAATGGTCAGACAGGACAGGACAAAAGTTTACCATACCTCTAAATACAGCACTCACATCATGATAAGATGAGATAGAGCATTAGAAGAGCTGGACTCTTTATACCTTGGTTGTATCACTGTGTATACGTTTTGGGCCAGGCAAGGTCATTTTTCTATTACGTGTTTTATGTTTATGTACACATATTTGTATTTATGTACACATATTTGAGAAAGGTTAACCAGGATCTTGCATGAAACAAAATTGTAAGTTGTCCATGTTAATTTTATTTACTATATCGTCCGTGTGGTGTATTAAATTGTAAAATTTACGTACTATGCACCTAGTCGGTGCATAGAGTGCTAGCTTTGCATTAGGAGCAAACCCTGGTCGTACCAAAGAATTCAAATGGTCAACACTGCTTATTTCTTGCTTAGGACTAGAAGAGTGTGGCAGTTGAACACAAACCACTACCAATGTACAGGCCCTCTTCTGTAGTGTGGCCCAATGAAATGTATAGAACATGATGCTGCCTAATGTGTGGGAGGGGTCATATCCTTCCTAACCAGTAGGAAAATCTGTAAATAGTAAGCCACAGTTCATTCAGAGCCTTCGATGCATTGCCTGTCAGCTTTTGTACATAATGTTTTGCATATGGATCAGCTGACGCTCTAAATATATCAATCCATGATGCATATGTATCACAAATATATAGACGTGATGAACTGATTACTAGTGTCTAAAAGTAGTAGCTGCCAATTGTGGTATTGCCAAATAAACATTGCAGCAACTACAGTGAGCTGCATTGCACGTACTAGATGTTGACTGAAATAGCCATGATAGTAACTGGTTATACGCACCATTAACTGTGTCTAGCACTCTGTAATTACGAAATGATGAAATAAAAGTGTTGTGTGACACTACTTAATGGCGTCCTCAATCACTTACCGTTTTGCAACATTTCTAGTCCTTCTGATGGATAATTTCAATTCTCATATTCTCCCATATTCTGATAGAAGAAATCAGGTAGCCTTGTGGTGAATTGTAAGCTCTCTTCAGCCCTCTTGAAAACACTTTATTCTTAATCTCAAAGCGAATGGATTAATTGATGAAAAAAAAAATTGTTGCTTCTTCCAATACGTTTTGATACGTATGCAAATTTACATAATGCATATCTATGTTTGCTAACAACGTAGACGCATTTAGTGGTATAAAAGTACCCAACTTTACTCTGGCAGAAGAACTGAGATTTTAATGAAACTTCGGTCCGATGTGTTCAAAAAGGAACGAGAAAAATCAGTTCAATGACCGATAGCTACAACATTTTTGTCCCCTAGAACCTCCCAACGCCAATGAATAAGCAACAGAGAGTTGTTTTCTCACCAACAAATGTAGATCTAGACCTTAAATGTGAAGGGAGGTTCAATACAAAGACCGGACAGCTTTTAAACATGGTCAGAGACTAAGGCTGCATTAGCAACAACTTGGAGGTCCCGTGTTTGAGGAGTGACACACCTCAAGCACGTTAATAAAGAACCCAAGTGAGCGGAACAAACCATTATGGTCTGAAAAGGGGTAGGCAATCTTCTGCTTCTCCTATTGGGTCAGTTAGTCCTCACTACTTGTGAGGATGTTTCTGACTCAGGGAGAAGAGTTGCTGTTACAGTTACAGGCTAGCTCTATGCCTAGAAGTGGCCAAAAATGGCCTTGCATTGAGCGACACCGTTTAAAAAAACTTGGAAATTCAAATGTAAGTCTAATCTTCATATCGATGGCTGCGTGTGGGGCCATGTCTGAACTATCAATAAACGTAACATTTGGCAGAAAATATATAAAACAAAAGGCACGAGGCTTTACTTTTTTCTCACCAACAAAGGTATATGTTTTAACATATACCTTTCTTAAAGGAAGTAAGCTCAGCATAAAGTCTGTCAACACATTTGATATACAAGGTTCAATGAACAGAGCAGACAACCAACTGTTACACAACCAAGGTTATTCACAGAGGATAAAGCTTGAAGTTGTTTTCATATGCCAGGTACAAACGGCATTTCAATACACTCTGCGATGTCAGGACTTAAGACAACACAGCAGACAATCAACTGGTACATAACCAAGGCCATTGGTTATCCTCGACCACGAGGGACCACCAAGGACACATCCAAGTAGCGGAAGACTTGCAGGTGTTTTTCACAGACCGTACAGGCAGGTCTCACCACCGAGCGCTGCACACGAGCAACGGCTGTCCTCGCGACTCCAAGGCAACTCAACATACTGTGTCTCGCTTTCTGGATAAATTTGAGAGGTAAGCCTTTCTTCAGAAAACAATTATTTAGCACCGTGTCCAAAATGCTCCCTTACTTCCCCACCGTTCCCTACCACAAAAAAAAAACAACATTTTTACTACTAAAATCAAAGAACCCACATATTATAGAAGAAGTGGGTAAATTCGTCTTCCACTGCCTAAAAAGAAGAAGTCAAACCCAGTAAATCTAGTACCATGCATGTTGTAGAATATAGTATAATGCTAGACGTAGATATAGTCTCACATACCACTGTATTTTCTTTCTTGTGTTGTTTGTAACTGCAATTAGCCCTCGGGCATGTATTTGCAATAAACTTTCTATAAAAAGCACCAACTTCTATCATTTCTGAATAGGACATTATACTGGCGGTAGCTTTTTTTTCCATTAGAATTGCAAGAATGAAAACACATTTTGTACTTGTGATAGGAGCAATTTAGCTTTCTGAACCCTTTCAGAAAATTCTAGCACAGAGTTAAAAATAACTGCAGCTGGTTGCCAAGGTAAAGTTCCAATAACTAGGGAGGTATCACGTGGTTCTTGAACCTTTGTGTGCGAACCTTAGACAACTTGGCAAAATCTATGACTCTTCACTTATTCACTTAGTATAGTTAGAAAAAGAAGCTCTCGCCCAAACATAATTGAATTATCTACCCCGTGTATACCTCACGTATTTCTATTTTATGTGTGTTGTATACAGTCATATGAATCTATTCTGAAAAACGCCTGCGGTTGGTTGTTTTGGAAAGAACAAACATCAGAATATCGGATTCTAATAGACTGCTCACTGCTGCAAACCACTCCTTTTCCCCAGCAAAAACGTACGGTGTATAAAAGATATAGATTATGTGGCATCTTTCCATCGATTTACAAGCCAAGGCACTTCTTTTAGGCCACGGTCACATTTCCAAGCCGGGGCCCGGCCGGGCTGTTTGCATGAACGAAAAAGAAACAATTTGTACAAAGAGTATACACAAATAGTGCTCAAGGTTAATTTTCTAAAACTTTTTTTGTGTTTTGCTGTCTCATATCATAATTTTCGTTCCAAACGACTGCCCGGCCGGGCCCCGGGTTGGGAAATGTGACCGCGCCTTTTCCTGGCCAATACTTCTATCTGTAAAAGTTCTTATTGTCGTTATGTGGCAACTGGTGCAGGTGCTGTAATAAAGACGGTCCATTAATCTCAACAGCTATTCAAGACGACTTTCCTCACTTAGGCCATGTTGATTTGATTATATGGATGACATCCTCCGGGAGCCCCAAAACTGATGCGCGCTTGCGAATAAAAAAAAAGTTTTGCAAAAAAAAAAGGTCTTTTCATTATGAAATCTACGTGATCATGAGGGTTGAGCAAATGGCACAGAATATGGTTTGGCGAATAATCTGGTCTTCAAGTTCATTTCTTTACAATGTCGTCTTTTTTCGTTTGATTTTGGCATTCTACGACATTGATATAGTTTTTATTAATTTTTTTTTGTAACTTATGGTATATTTTTGCTCATTTTGCAACTGTTTTCTACGATTTACAGTATGGTTGAAAACTTTTTTTTTTAAACGGCCGAAAATTCATGCACGCGCGGATGTCATCCATATAATCAAATCAACATGGCCTTAACGTGGGTGAAAATGAGTAGTTCAGTTTATTTTCATTTAAAATCGATTGAATTGTGAAGCTGGTTGTCATCATTTAGTAAGTGGCAGCAAAATACACTCGCCAATGGAAATTAAAATAACAACTACATTCGAAGAGAATTTCCGACATAAAATAACGCTTTTTAAAACTCAGCGAAGGACAGAAACAGAGAGTAAACAACTTGCTCGGTGTAAATATTCAAAATTCGGGGTTCACAGAATCGGATATCCCGATGCCAGACTAATTTAGACTCCATTGCGGCAGAACGCCTGCGCACATCTCACAATAAGTCACAACATCTGCTTCTACCCACTCACACAACACCCC